TATTAGCGTTTCGTGTCCGTTTTGACTTTGTGTGGACGGGGCCTTAGTAATTACAAAAAAATAAATATTCTGCTCTAGTAAATACAAGCACTTAACTTGTTACTCAAAACAGAAATACAGGGCATTAGGTGCCTCTTTTTTTAGCGGAGGGGGTGGGGGGTTGGTCTTCGCTAACAAAATGAAAAAATGAGCAACACATTGTTGGATAGAGTTTAGTTAACGGACACTCCTTTCATTAAATTTGACACTGGAAGATCTTCTGTGCTGACACCCGTGTTAGTGCAGCGACATCTGACATTTTTTACTTTGTGTCACCTAATATGCTTTAGATCTCAACCACATAAAGCCTTTTGCGCATACTTTAGCTGAGCCTGTAAATAGCACTTAAAACAAACTCAATATTTATACTGTAGAGGCCTTAGACAGCGAGCAGTGAAGCATTGATGAAATTACACATCTACCTTCTCTCAAAATGTTGGCCATGTATCATAGCCAGAGCAAATACCACATAATTACATAATTAATCAGATCATGTATGTTTCCCTTCCTTCATTTTTGTTCCTTTGTGCACGAGTCAAATGCATGTAATCACTTGTTCTGTAATGTAATCTGATCAGGGCCATGTAATTCTTCATTTTGCAACAGCTCCCTGGAGCAAACGATGTGAGAGCGAGATGAATGTGGCACAGCCTCTGTCCCCTTCCTCTCTCTGCCTCTCCGCTATGCTTTGTTTAAAAGGAGCTTCCTCAGTGTGGTTAAGCGCTTGGCCGTGTAGCTGCTGGAAGCTGTGCCTCCCGCATGAACCAATATCTCTAGCCCTCACTTGTCTCTTTATATATCCGTCCATCCATCCATCTCAGATGCTGTGCTCCTCTCCTCTGCTCCCCGTCTGCCCCCTCCTTATCCCCTCCAATCTGTTATCTTTCCTTGTCTTTATTCTCTTCATCCCGTTTTCCTTCCTCCTCCCTCCCTTCTCCCTCCAGTGGCGACACCAACCATCAGGTTCCATCTATCTGTGTGTACGTCAGCAATTAGAGCATCGTGGCAGCCAAATGCCAGCCATGTCCCCAAGCTACACACACACACAGGCAGATACACACACACACACACACACATACACTCAAAGGCAATGTCCTGACAAAACAGCATGAGAACAACTCAGAACATAATTTATAATCTCGCTGTGCTAAAATCTCATTATATTACAGACATACGGATTCGGTGGCATGCACGGCTGGGGAGCCGCAGCTATAAATTCCACCAATCATAAATTATGAAAGGAAAGATAGAAATGACCACTGCCTGTCCGGATTAGCTGTAAATCACCCTCAAACATGGTTTGTTTAAGGAATTAAGTCCTATGCTGTATGAACAACCTTAAAGGGCACGCCTACATCACAAAGGTGGTAAAAAGAGTCAAATTATAGCTGCTTTGAATCTAAAGGTTGTGGGTTTATCTCGACAAATAAAGGCAGGTGTCCTGACAGCCTT